TTCCATTGTGTACGTTTTCATGAATGTTACATTGTGTTTTCTTTGTTTCTTTTTGGTTTGGCTATTCTCCTCTACCGTAGAAATACAAGATGTTTTATTGAACTTGTTCTAAGGTAACTTGTCTTAAGACAGAATATCTTATATTAATTTTGCCAAACGAGAACTTCGTGACAGTACCTTGTTTTTTCCCCCCTGTAATTCAACGGCACGTTGTCAGTTATTCATTCCTTGTAGGCTATTATTATTATTATTATTATTATTATTATACCGATTTCAATGCACAAATGTTTTTTTTACTGTTCACCAAAGAAATGGTAACACGGTAATGCATTAAACTTGTCAGCCACAAGACTATGCGATGATATTAGGCTCAAAATGATTAATAGATGCACGCACAATTATCCATGTACTGCATACATTTTATACATGTATCTTACTAACGCATTTTTTTTTTTTTTGGGAAAGCGGGTTAAGTAGCCTACAAAGCCTGGTTTACATAGGCCTAATAAATAATAGTATGTAGCATTCAAATTCAAACAGCCAACATTGTGAATATGGAAACATTTGGATTCGTGCCAAATGAGAGAGTAAGAAAGAGGATTATAGGGCCAAAACAATGGAATGCGCACATGTGAGTGGGGCTAGGGCCACCTAGTGGTTGCCGATTTTCTTTAGCTCAGCTGCGCGTGGACTGCGAGCTGTGTGTGTGTGGATTGGGTAAGGCTAAAAGGGCGGAACGAAAGTCTCAAAATTCAAATGAATCAAATAGAATCGATTCAGAAGAGAAGTGAATGAATGAATGAATGCACGCGTGTCGCCTGATGCACAAATGCACATTTTAATCGCTACATGCACAAATTGATACTTTAATACAAACTATAACATTTGTATTCACAAATATGTCTCTATTTGAACAAAATGCTGCACATTAATGTAATTCTTAACTCTGCAGACACCGGTTGAAAAGCATTTGTTTTAGTGTAGTGAGGCACATTTGCGATTTTTTCAAATCGTGTACACGTTAATGAATTGCACTGGGCCTTGTTCGTTGGTAGTTGTGTGTGTGGGGGACGTGAAATGCTGTAAACTGCGAAAATGAAGTCTCAAAATCCAAATGAACCGAACAAGATCGAGTCGAACTAGACATCAATTAATGCACGCGTGTCACCTTATCCACATATGCACAGATTCCTTTTTGCTTGAGCAATTTATGATATATTAATGCAGAACAGAACATTTTTATTCGCAAACATGTCTGTATTTGTACAAATCGCTGCACAATCATTTAATCCCGAATTCCACAGAATCAAATTGAAAGGCATTTGTTTGTGGTTAGTAAGATACATGTATAAAATTTATGCAGTTCATGGATAATTGTGCGTGCATCTATTAATCATTTTGAGTCTAATTTCATCCCATAGTTTAGGGTATATGTGACGGCAAGTTAACCTTGCTTTCTGAAATACACCCCAGGTTTGATCAAATATTTTTGTAAATCAATATAAATTACCATACATTTGTGTAATATACATTGTATATAATACATTAATGTATAGAAATATTAATGTATTAATATAAATTGTCATATTAGAAAGTTCTAAACCAAGTGATAAATATCTATTGCAATGTTTATTATGAAAGTAAACGTAATTTGGATATATTAAGGTGTCTTTACACAGCTGCTCTTGTTTAAAATAGTGTAAATGCTGCATAAAAGGCAGATTAAATTATGCCTGCTGTGACACACCTCAGCCCCAAAATATACAGTTGCAATTGCTGTATAAATGCATTTATCCCATCTATGAGCAGTCTTAAACCTTTTTTTAATTACTAGACTGAACTTCATTGCTACACTGAATATTGACATAGCTAGAATATATCAGAATTATGTTGCCAAAAAAGGACACTTCTGCCCCAGGACCGAAGTTCATTCAGTTCAAACTAGGGCTGCAACAACTAATCGATAAAATCGATTATTATCGATAATGAAAATAATCGACAACGATTCTCATTATCGATTAGTCGGGTCTGCCCACGGTGCACGTCCAACTCCAGCCGGTCGCGTCAAATTACAGCACTGAATAGCGCATTACGGACAAAATGCATCTAAAAATAGTGGAGGAAACAGAATGAGATGCTGCAGGAGAAGTACGTGATCCAAGCTGCCCAAAACTTAAGAATTCTTTATTTTAAGCTTTAACCTAACGCATTAGCGTATGGCGTAGGCTATAGGCTTGCCCTGTCCTGCGCTTTGACAGATGCATGTTCGTCCTCAGCGCAAAAACTTTCAGTTCACGGTCATATCCTTATCTGTAAATGTAACAAATTCACGCGAACACTTCCACTTTTGCAAAAAAGTCCGTTCTGATAGTAAATCTTTACTGAATGAGCGCCGGCGCGGCGGGCGCGTGGACGCGCGTCAGACAGACGGAACAACACAGTAGAGACGAGACAACGAAGTTAATAATACTCAGCGCAAAAACATTAATTGTGCTGAAATATCTGTTGTTGATATTTAAAAGGTATAAATAAGGTTTTTAAATGAGGTTTAAAAGTCAACATGTAGTGCACGTATTTTATGAGAGTAGGAACTGTAAAGGGATACAGCGTGTAATTCTGAATATAAATATCAGATGCTTCATAGTCGCCTTTTACAGGATAAAGAAATGACATGTGATCAAAGTGGACGCGTGTTCCTGCAGAACATTACTCTTACCTGTTGGTTAACATACTGAGTTTGTTTTTATTCGTCCTTATTATATTTATTATTATTTTAATTTTTAATGTAGAGATTTAAACTATATTCAAATACAGTGCTTAACAATTTAAAAAAAAAAAAAATTTATGTAAGGTTTGTGCCACTGCTGCTCTAAACTAACAGTATTGGTGATTATAATCATTTTTTAGCTTTCTGTATTGGCAAGTCCTCCAATGTGCATAAGCTCTTTAGTAACAGTAGTTGACTATTTCTATGCTATAATATAATTATTGCTGTTATCTATGAAAAAAGGCAGAAAAAAAAAATAGTCAAGCTCTCAAGATACCCAATTACAGTCAAAAAGTACCTAAGCAATGCCAGCAAGAATGCAAGCTGTTATGGAAGGCATAGGAGGACATTCTTGTTAATATGTGAATAAATACTAGCCTACTTAGTTTGATATTTGCCCAATAAATGACAATAACATTTTTAGATTTAAACAATTTTTTTGACAGATTCCTAAAATATTTGTGTTTTATCTTTATTATGTGTTTCTAATAAATTGTTAAGCACTATTTTCATAGCATTCAGTTGACACGTTTGTTTAAAGGACATTGGGCAGAATGTGGAAGTGTTTTTTGTCAAAAAAAGAAAGAAATGAGAAGATCCGATTAATCGAAAAAATAATCGGGCAACTAATCGATTATCAAAATAATCGTTAGTTGCAGCCCTAGTTCAAACACCGATCAATAACCCCATACTCACGAACACCACATTTGTCCAAAAGTAGACGCTAACCATGCACAATGTTCATATCAACCTGATAATGTCTCACTGCCCTAGCTAGACAGTTTTCTTTTGATTGTTTCCTTAGTGTTATTATAAATATAGCTCATAAAGCTTATACACAGGAGCTGTGATGAATAGCGCCCATTTATATTAAAGGAAGTACAGTACAAAGCAGTGACTTCTATATCAAGGTTTTATTAAAGGATTAGAATGTTTTTAAAAGGGCACACAACACACACTTTATCTTAAGACAAAAACCAGTAAAAAACAGCATGTGGTTCCAGGTTCATGTCACATATACAGAACATAAATGAGTGGATGTGTCTCAGCATTTGCCCTTCCTGGAGATTAATGTGTTGACTTTCTCCTCCCTATGACAAGACAGTCGAACAATTTTTCAAAAGGACACCAGTAAGAACATTCAAATGGTAGATAAACATTAAAAACTTGATTTAACTTACATATTTAACAAACACAGCATGCATTCGTTGGAGTATGTGACTCCATCAGTACCACACACAGGGTTATATTCCCGGGTACAGACGGGCAGGAAGTACTCAGAGCAGTTTGGCTGCCAACAAAAGCACACAGAATACATTAGATACATGTAGTGGTTAAATAAAGCATCAAGAATAGGTTTTAATCTTCAACGCACCTCGTTAGAGCCACCAGGGATAACAGCTCCTCTTGCCAAAGCTGTTTAGAATCATATAAAAGTGAAACACACACACACAGTTAGAGAGAGAGAGAGATAAATAACTCACCACGTTATATGAAGTGCCTGGTATGTAATTTTTGTTGCTTGAACTTTAAATTAAGGATTTAAAAAATAACGTCTTCTTTTCCCCCCCAAAACATCAGACTTTGATGTTCTTTATTGCCTATATCAGTTACAGACTCACCTGCCAAACAGAGTACCAGAACAACCCGTGCCAGCATGATTCAAATGGTAGATAACCAATTGTATACAGCGATGTGTTGACTGTGTAATCAATCACTCTCAGGTTAGTCCTTTTATTGCACTTTTGCTCCCACCCACAGAGCGGTTACACATTTACAAAGTGCGTCACTCGAATTCTACAAAGCCGAAGTCATGCTTTAAATATTCATTAAGCTGCCCGACGCTCGGTCAATATGCCTCGCTGATTGGCTGACAAGCAGACTAGTGTAAGTGGGCGGTTGTCAGCTTGTCAAATAAGAATGAAGGAAGAAGTCTGGACTAATGAATATTGATATTGTACGTAACAACGCTCACTAAGCAACGTCAGCACCGTCTAATTAATAATCATGAGAAATTATTTTGCCGTAGATTCTCAATACGCGCGCGGCACAGGTGTACAGCCTTACACTTAAAATAATTTTTATTAAATTATATTAACGATTACGTTTCGGTTGTAGTTCAGTCCGTTTTCAGTGAAAATGTACAAAAGAGAGCGACTCTTATTTTGAAAATGGACTCTTCACGGTTGCTCAGTATGTCTTTGTTTACATTCCCTGCTCAATCGCACTAAACTACTGAGATGAGTGAACTTCATTTCCAGACGGACACATAAATTTGATCTAATACCAGTAGTTATTAAAGCCAGTTTCATTACAGCAGGTGGAGGAAGCGGTACGTGACATCCATTATATCCATTAAAGAGTTCGGATACAGTTGGTTCGCTCTCTCTCTGTCACTGACTTTATGAATCTGTCTGTATATCTGTGTTGAATAGCAGCTGCATAACAAAAATAATTGTGAGTAAAGGCATATAGGAGTAACTGTTTCTGTGGCGGTTGCGTTGGCCCATTCCTTCATACTTTCATTCTTTCTTCATTCTGTTATAGGGTTATGTCAAAGATGGACCAAACAATGCGTGATAAGCTCTCACAACTGGTTGAGGAGTTGACTACCTCTGGAGAACCACAGTTAAATAAAGACAAAATGAAGGACGTGAAGAAAATATGCAAGTATGTTTAGTAGGTTCAAAAATACATGGACCAAACAGTGAGTCTTGTGAATAAATTAGGACATTCTGGCAAAGATTTCATAGAAACAGGACAACACTCTTCAAGGACATCTTTATTTGCTTAGTGAGTGTTTTTGCCCCATTAGTAAAAGGCCTTTACCTTAGAGCCCATTGAACTTTACCTTAACGTGAACTTAGCAAGAACTTGAGCTAGTAACAATTTTTTGTTTGTGCTGGCAGATGGTGAGGCAAAACAAAAAGTGATTCCGTAAATTTTGATTTCAGATGGTCGCCGTGATTTTGCCAAGTAAGACATGTTCCTGGATCAACATTACTGTCCAAAAATACAGTCTTAACCCAATCCCTACCCCTAAACCTAACCCTACCCATAATTTATTCCTAAAATCAGTGTGAAATGATAGCTGATTAACAAGGGTGAAGAAGCACCTAATCCTGATTGTAAGCCTAAAACTGACATTTCCTGAAAAGTTATCCCTCAATTCTGATTGGTTGATTGGAATGATGTTCCAGGATCAACAAGGATGTTGATCCAGGAACATGTGTACTTGGTGAAATCACGCTCACCGATTTCAGACAGCTATGCCATTATCACAGTGCAGTGTTTCATAAAACACTGGTTAGTTAAATATCATTGGTCACCAAAGCTCTTGCCACCTCTGCCCAAAGCGTGCTTATGATCTCATTATCTAGTCACCGAATGAGGAAACTGGCCTTACCCAGTGTTTATTTATCAGTGTTGTCAGTTATAAAGCCTAATCAAAGTCCATTTTGTGATTTGCCAAGTCAGCGTAAATTGCTCATGTACCTGTGTGTTTGTTTTTGTGGCCTTAGAGCAGCACTGGACATATGCCCTTACACTCCTTGTTAAGCTGGAACTCTTCTTCCTTTTCTGACCATAGAGTTTCCACTGACTACGTTGATCATTTCTACCACTTGATTATGACCCAGCTGAACCAAGAGCACGGAGAGATCCGTCTCTCTGCCTTCCAAATGATCAGTGAGATTTTCAGGCGGTCGCATCACTTCAGAGATCTTCTCATCACAAACTTTCAGGAGTTCCTGGAACTCACAGTAGAAACAGACACTGAGCAGCCGCTGCCTCCACCCAAAGAGGTGGCGAGAAAACTAAGGACACTTGCCATTCAGACTGTGCAGTCATGGCACGCCACGTATGGAGAGGCGTATAAGAAACTGTCTCTGGGATATCACTTTCTAAAGCAGATTAAAAAGGTATTTATCTGGACGTGCCTGTTCTGTGATTATGGTATTTAATGCCATCAGTCTGCACCCTGGGACACGTCACTGTTGTTATGTAATTATATAAAGACTGTTATGGAAAAGATATTGTGTTCTACCTAAATTTAGCTGTTTAATCAAAGGTGAATGAATCAAGCAGTTTATAAAAAGCTAACCTAACCCTACTATTTAGTAATTGTGTTTCATTGTATTTTCCAATATTATGTTCAAATAGATTATTATTTACATTTGGTTTTCATCCACTTGATGTTATGGGTGGCTTTATTTATGTTATTATAATTCATCATTATAATAGTGAAATGTCTCACCCTCATGTTGTTCCAAACCTGCATTCATTTCATTATCTACTGAACACAAAAAGATTATATTTTGAAGAATAAGGGTAACCAAATTGTTGCTGGTCTCTATTGACCTCCATAGTATGAAAAAAAAAAAAATAGTCAATGCAAGTCAATGGGGACCTGAAACTGTTTGGTTACCCACAAACAGATTATACATTTTTGTGTAAACTATCCCTTCAAGAAATGCATTGTGTCTTTTTTTTAGGTAGATTTTCATGATGTTGAAGCAAGAACACTGGCTGAGAGAAAAAGACAAGAGGAGAAACAGAAGAGATTGGAACGAATTTACAAAGAGAAGCTTGAAAAGGCCAAACAGGAAATGGAGGGTAAACACCTTTATTTCCACAAAATGTAACTCCATTGAAAAACACACACACAAAAACTTATCTATAGATTAGTACTTGTTATCTTTTGAACATGAAAATTAATTAACAAAATAAATGAAAATATAAAAGTAAAATCATTTTAGAAATTATCTACGCTAAAATAAAGCAATTTGATTATTCCTTGATATATTTACACACATATTTTTATTTTATATAAATGTAATTTTTATTGCCATTATATCACTTTACCTCTAAACGTTAAGGGCTAACAATGTGGCAAACAGGCCAATAATGCCACAGCACTCTTTACAATGCAAAGGAACATAACAATCATGGAGCCATATGAGTGCAAGTGCACTATTGGCTCGTTTTCCGAAATTTTGTCAAATTATTTTACTGAATAATCAACAAAAATAAGTGGAACTACTTAATCTACAATAAAGAACTCAGTTGCCAGTGACACCATAACATTGACACAACTGCGTTGCCGTGTTTATATTTCCACACATTCTTGAGAGGACTTCTTCTGATTTCAGTGAGTAAACATTACCCATCCAATCTCTGTTTTTATATCTGAAGTCAGCCTACAGTATACAGCAGAATTTCTACACAGTATTTCGATCTTGGAATGACTGCTTATTGAAAGTGGGAGTGAGCTATGTTCATCTTTAATTACAGTTCTCTATACTTCTTCTTAATTATAGTATCGAACATCAGATCAGCTGATGTACAAGGCACCAACAGTACATATATTATAAATACCACATATTATAAATACCAATGTGTTCATTCTAGAAACACATCATCTGCAGTTTATTATTACAGGCTCGTATTATAGCTAATAATCCTAGATATAATGGAGTATACAGTAGGCACACCTATCTCAGCGATATCTGAATAGCTTATCCTGTGCAAATTGTCAATAATCACTACTGACGTCCACAGTAATCAGTACTTCACAGACATTATGTCCTGAAAACTTATCTTGTCTGACTGATACCTTCAAGATATCATCTTTTAGTCATTGACGCCCTGTTTGCATACGCAATGTGGCTACACCTGCTGATTTTACAGTCCCTTCAGCAATCCAGTCATTTGTATGTAGAAATCACCGGGTGGAACTAATTATACAGGTGCATCTCAGAAAATTAGAATATCATGAAAAAGTTCATTTTTTTGTGTAACTTATTTCAAAAAGTGAAACTTTAATATATTCTAGATTCATTACATGTAAAGTAAAACGTTTCAAGTGTTTTTGTTTTAATTTTGATGATTAGAACCTACAGTTCATAAAAGTCAAAAATCCAGTATCTCAAAATATTAGAATATTTACATTTGGCCGTTAAAATGCAAAAATATAAAATATTTAAACAATGTTCATGTAAAGCGTGTGTAAATGTGAAATTCCTTTATTGCTGTAAGGGTACGTATAAAGTATTTTCAGTTTTTTACATCATGTTTAAGATTTCACAGCTTCACCAAGAATCAACATTTCCTGAGGAACTGTGTTAAGCAAATACTTTATATGCTGGTTAAACACTGAGGGACAGCTCCCAGGACATGCTGTAAATTAAATGAACAATATCCTGGAATAGGTAATCTTAGATATAACACTGTAAAAAAAAAAAAAAAATCAACAGCCTAAATATTTACTCAAATAAATTTCATTTTAATTCATAACATCTTGACTACAAAAGCCTTGTCAAAAGTGATTAATGACTTGCTAGAGTATTCTTTTAGACTTGGGAAAAGTAAAAGGTGGCAATACATTTACAGGATGGGGGTGAAGTAGTATAGTTGTAGTTTTTTACAATCACTTTGGCGCTGATATCAGAACATTGATGTCATTTTTCAAAACACTTGACAGAACTCAGTGATCAAAATGCAAATTTTTCAAAACTCTTTTTTCGATTGCTTGGATACAATACATATAAATATAAGTTCATTTAGTTGAACTAAAATCACCTCTTCAAAATGACACAACATCAAAGTATTGCCATTTCACAACGAAATTCACACATTACATCTGAGATGTCATTACACTGATCTAACAATTGAAGCAACTGCTCAAAAAGGTAAGTAACTGTTGCATTACTTTTAATGCGTATTTTTATGAAAACTGATGAACAGTGTTCCATGTTTAGATCCAGTTACCATGAAACAATTGGAATACATTATCTATGGTGATGATATCTCATCATCGCTCTTTTCCTGGTCTCATGTACCACTTTCCATACCATGTTTTTAGATTTGACAATGCAGGCCCTTGTAATAAAAACCTGTTATGAAAATTTCTGATTTAATTTCTTCGTATTGATGATTGGAAAAAAAAAAAACTGTAAATATCTAGAAAACACAAATAGCATTTAGCAATCTTGTTTAAAAAAGAGTGACAAGTTCTTGTTCAAGTCTTGTTGTTTAAAAATGTCATTAAGTGCCATTAATCCTTAGTTAAAGATAAGAAAAAAAGTGTGCCCATCCATTTCTATCCACGCTTAAATGCTTGTTTTGATCTCTTTCATTAAGAAACGACGACTGAGATTGAGGAAACCTTGACTGAGATGAACAACTGCATGAAACTGCTTGCAACCGATGACTTAAACCTGTTTAATGAGGAAGCAGCAGTTGCTAAAACCTCTGTGGGAGCCGAGAACATATCTGACCAACCCTGCTGCAGTAAAGACCTGAGCAATGAGCAGAACGGAAAGATGACCGAGAAGACAAATGATGAAGGGCAAACAGACAAGTCTAGTGACGAGAGTGACACAGAGGAAGTTCCTGATGAGGACGCGTTTCTCCGCAGCACTGGTTTAATGTCTTATAGATATCAGCTGGAGCTCAATGTGTCTACAGGTGTATCTGACTGATCGTGTTCACAGCTATTCTCATGATACGTGTGCTCTGTCATGTCATAGCATTGCATGGAATTTGGAGTTCAAATCAATTTTTTTTGTGAATAACCGTTTGAATCATGTCTGCAGATTTAAAATTGAGGGAGACGGAAGAGAATGAGGCATTAGTAAACACTGTGAGGGATCTCCATAGACTCATCACAACCAGACACCTGCCTCTGGTGCAGTCCTGGATCCAGGTAAACCCTTTGACCTCTGAAAGGAATCATTCATTCCCAAATGAGAAACCTGTCATTAATTATTCAAAAGGAGATGTTTAGCAAAACGTCCAAGCTGCTCTTTTTCACAAAACTTTTTTATTTTTTTTGCTTTTTTTATTTTTATTTAATAACATTTAATTAAAAAAATTGGCAAGTTAAAGGGATAGTTCACCCAAAACTGAAAATTTCCCCATCATTTACTCACCCTTAAGCCCTCGACTGAATGGGTGTGGAGATTTTGAAGCAAAATAAAGTGTATCATAAAAAGTACTCCACATGGCTCCGGGGGTTAATAAAGTCCTTCTGAAGTGAATCCATGCATTTGTGTAAGAAACATATCTGTATTTAATGTGGGTTCAATTGTGGCATATATGCATTCATTGGATTTGTCTTTCATACATCTGAATGTTATGTTTATTTGAATAAAGTTAATGTGTGATTTTTGAATGTCAGGTCTTTACGAAGGTGGGTGTTGAGGAAGAACTGATGAGGAGAGCCACTGAGTTAAAGAAATCACTGGAGTATGCCTTGAGAAATCACGAGTTTCTTCATATAGACTACAAAAACAGAGAAAGAAGAGTGGTGAGTTTGTTTTTTTAGACGGATATAGGCCTACACTTTTTTTGCTCTGATTTTGAGGGCTAAGTGCATTAAACAGCAAGAAGAGTACTACACTCTCACATCCTGTCGTTTCTATTTTAGTTGAGTGCTTCCTATATTTGAAGCATCTGTTGTGTGGTGAAAGTGACAATGTGCCTTGAGTTGACTGACAGCTGTTTTTATTTTTGACGTGCTGCATGGCTGTTCCACACAGTTTATTGTTCATCCATTTTAAAAGGATTTTACAATGCCAAATGGGACCCTGGAGCACAAAACCAGTCTTAAGTCGCTGGGGTATATTTTTAGCAATAGCCAAAAAAAACATTGTATGGGTCAAAATTATCGATTTTTCTTTTATGCCAAAAATCATTAGGATATTAAGTAAAGATCATGTTCCATGAAGATATTTTGTAAATTTCCTACCGTAAATATATCAAAACTTAATTTTTGATTAGTAATATGCATTGCTAAGAACTTCATTTGGACAACTTTAAAGATGATTTTCTCAATATTTAGATTTTTTTGCACCCTCAGATTCCAGATTTTCAAATAGGTGTATCTCGGCCAAATATTGTCCTATCCTAACTGTGACACATGATACATCAATGGAAAGCTTATTTATTCAGCTTTCAGATCATATATAAATCTCAATTTAAAAAAAATTGACCCTTATGACTGGTTTTGTGGCCCAGGGTCACAAATATCATGTGTGAAATTGTTTTGTGAATTCTATTTAATATATTTAACTTTTCACAGTTACATCAAAGCCAGATCATAATGTTTCTGGTCTGTTTAAATCATATTTTGCATTTAACGATATGTTTAAATAACGATAATTATTATTAATATATAATATTAATAATTATAATATAATACATTTATATATCAATGAATTTCCATTGATTGAATGGTTATTCGTATGTTTCACCATTGTTGAAATCATCCAGCTTACAACTGATTTTTCTGTGTTGAGTGAGTATTCTAAGATAGAGTATACTGTATGCATACTTACAGTATGTACTGCTGTAAGCAGTAGGGTAATGATCACAGTAATTGAGCAGTGCAAAATGCAAATTATATCTGGAATAACTTCAGTAATGCATTATCCACAGTGGAGGGCGCTCTTTCCTCACACATTAGATACTGGAATCTTGTCAAATAGTGCACTGGAAAGTGTTTGCTTGTCAAAAGATGTCCACGTGTAACACATGACGACGGTATTGAGAATATTTGTGTAGTGTGCACATTTTTAGATTACACTGTGTCTTATATGGTCAAACTCTGAAGATGCGCATTTTTGCATTGATACTGGGAGATTTGCTACGGGGAGGCACGGCTCATGTGCTAATGGAGATTTGCGCACTCTAGGGTGGAATGGGACACAGCAAGCAGTTAGGAGACACTTCATTATGACACATGTTATCCATTTTTAACTGGGTGAAAAGAACAGACAGGGTAGAGAGAAAGGAGGGGTGTGACATTGACAAAGCACTTGACTGCACGCCAGAGAGGTTTATCACTCTCAGTGACGATTTTCAATACAAAAAGTCAGTGCGTTGTGATAAAGCAACAACTAAAAGGCCTTTATCATAATTAGTTTTTCCTTTTCCCCCTAAAAGCATTCCATTACTTTATTCCCTGTGCCATTGCTATGACATGGGTGGAATTGCTTTCAGCTTAAACTCCTACTGATTGAGGAACAGAAAAAGGTGTAAAATTACTACTAATTATAATTTTTCTGTGTGCCTTTATCATATGATAATGAGTTTTAGATTTAAAAAAAATTAAGATTTAAAAATTGAATGCAAACCCCCAATAGCTTGGAAATGCAAATATAGCATAAGGAAAATTAATTACTAAAGTATACCTAGATACCAAAATATCAGTTATTTGTATAAATAGCACACCATATTTTTCCTCGTGTAAGATTCCACTTGTGTGAATTTGTGACTTTGGTCTGAGGTTTCTTATACACAAAATATGTAACAGAACAACATTTATAGGGCCAGGAGAGAATATACATTATTTACTGTGATAAGGCAACTTAATGGTTTGGCCTGAAGGAGCAATAATTGAGAGCAATAATATCTATTTAGTTTTTTTTTCTTTGGCAAACAAACGATAAATATGGTTATCTAAGTCCCATATACTAGGGCTGCACAATTAATCTAATTTCTAATCGCAATTACAATTACGGATGCCACAATTACATAATCGTTCAAAGCAGCAATTAATCGTTCAAAGTCCACTTATGTTATTCTGCACGCTTAAGATGTTTTTTTTTTTCTCTACATGTTATCTTAAGGGTTTTTCCATTGTTTTAATTTTAGTTTTAGTATAACATTATAAACTTCTGTTCACCACACTCATCTTCTATAGCGTTCAGCTCAGAGGACTGGGATGGCCAGAGCAGAAGCTTGGTTTTGGTGTGCAACCCATCTTGAGTGAATTTTTTAGTTACATCTGACCAGAGAAGCCAGTCCCATTTGAAGTTCCAGTCGTGTCTGACAACTGAATATGCTGGGGATTGTTTTTGGATGAGAGCATTTTCTTTTCTTGATTTTTTTTTTCTTGAAACCCTCCCAAACAACATGAGGTGATGTAGGTGCTGTTAGATTTTTTATTTTTAAGGTTTTCTGACCCTGAGACTCAACTATTTTCTGCAATTCTCCAGCTGTGGTCCTTGGAGAGTCTTTAGCCACTCAAACTCTCCTCCTCACCGTGCATTAGGACGATATAGATCAGTGTTTCCCAACCGGGGTGCCGTGGCAGCAGGGAGCAGAGCAGGGGTGCCGTGTAAAAAATCCTTTTTTAATATTTTTAAATTGCTAAAATGTTCAAAAAAGCATCTATTAAACTCGGTGTGAACTTGAGGAGAACTGACTTTGTATATCCAATAAAAATTACTTTAACAGCCGCTAGTTAAAAGACATTGAAGCTGATGATGATCTGACGATCATGCAGCATTTGAGATGACACTTGCTTAGATGTGCTGAATTTAATGCAATGACAGCCGTGCATTTAACTCTGAATTAAGTGATCAGATTCATTTTGGGGGTCACTAGCTTACAGTGTGTTCTTCTACATTCAATATTGGTCAATATTTGTTTTCAGCAGAAGAAACCATTGAATTAATAAATGTACACTGAAAACCATTTACTGTAGGATTTGCTTTTTAAATAATTTGCAATATAATTAATTAGTAAATAATAATAATTAGTAGATTTTAACAAATAATTTCAAAGAAATGGCAAGTAACACAAAGTTTGAAATTTTGAAGTAGAAAGACTGAAATAGTATTTTCTTAGTATCATACTTAAGTAATCTTTTTTAATTTACGTTTTATTTACAGCATTTTTGATAGTGTACCTATTCAATAAATAAAGAAATAAAAATTAAAGTATGAATAGGGTGAATTCGGGTAAATTCAGTTCTATTGTGAATTCGGGCAAATTCTATGAATTTGGGGAAATTGGGACACTTTTGCCATTGAGATGAATGGGAAAAAATGTCCCAATTATCCTGAAATAACCCTGTGTGTGTGTGTATGTATGTATATGTGTGTAAGAGAGCTTTCAAATTGAGATATGACCGTAAACTTCACGGGAGTCTCTCTCCAGGCTGCCTAGAACATGTTCTCGTGACAAAGTGCATTTCATTCTGTTCTGCGGTCAGCTAGCCTGCTAGTCCATACACCTGAGTTATTGGTTTGCCGTAATAATTTGCAAGACCTTCCCCGTAAGAGAGGAGATTAGCATATAAATAGCAGATGCACAGAGGACCATCACAGCTGAGTACATTTAATTTTTGGTTTATAAGATTGAATGGGTTTTTAAACGCATAGCCATCAAACTTGGCCAAAGACAAATGAAGTGTAGGGCTCAGTTGTCCGAGGCTACCTCCTCAGCTCATTTTTTAAAAGGATAACAGACCTGCTTAAGGAGTGTGCCTGGCTGACGCTTCCCTGGGCACAAAGTAATTGAGATTGCTTACAGAGTTAATTAGACCGTACAAAATATATTGGAGGGCGCGAGGAGCACTGCTGGAATGTGTTTTTCCCCATAAGTGGGGGACATTTAACCGGAAACTCATTATCTTATCCTCTCAGGGTAGAGTCCAGGGGCCACTGCATGGTCAATAGAGTTCACTGCGAATGTCTGCCAGTAGTCCACTCATGGGAGCACATCGTTTAAATATTCAACGTCATTCTCATATATCCACGTCTGCTGATGAGACAAATCAAGGAGGTTAGAGGCCGTGTTGTTTTAGTATCATTGAGATACTATTATAGTTTTTATTAATATTTGGAATTAGTTTTTTTTTATATTTATATTTATATATTCCATTTCAATTTAAATGTTATGCACAGTTTTAGTAATTATGTTGCGTGTTTTTGTCATTGTTTTTTCTTTTAAAATATGCCTACATATTTTTTATTAAAAATAAAATTGTTTTAATTTTATTTTAGTACGTTTCCTTGGAAAATAGCTGAAATAAAATAATTATTTTTAAATATATCTTTTATGTTATGTCAGTTAACGTTTATTTTATTTTTACGTTTTTTTTTTTTTTTTACGGTATTAGATTTAATTATAATATCCCTGGTTAGAGGGGCAATATCTCAGCATTTACATTTAGATTTCTAACAACTCGTTATTAACTCATATGGTTGATTATACATTTTTAAACTTATTATAAACTTTATAAAAAACTGTAGAAAATACAGTAGCACAAAATTAAGCATTTTTTTTATTAGATTATAATTACTAATACTCATTTAATAAAATATTCAGTTATTCAGTCATGTTTAATAGTAGATTATTTTATTATTATAATTTAATAAATTGCATAATTTAAATGTTTATACTAAATTATATGACTTAGAAATTAATCGAATATAAATGTTTGTTTTACATTTACATTTAGTCATTTAGCAGACGCTTTTATCCAAAGCGACTTACAAATGAGGACAACAGAAGCAG